CCAGCTGTCTCCCTCCAGTCTTGCGACCCCTCGTAGGTCGCTGGCTAGCTATCCTCTCTAGAGCACTAACCAGCCCCATTGTAGTGTCTGTGCACTACAGTCTCAGAGGCAACTCCAAAGAGAAGCAGGTTCGTCCCCCGTAGCTCTTGGGCTTCGCCGTCTAAAAACTGCCGTTGCTTTCCCCTCACGGGACTTGTTAGTGCCGCTGGCCCCTCTGTAGTATGTTTGCCTTGGCCTGTGTGGAGTGGCACAGCTCCTAGTGGAGCTTCTGTTGTCCGCGCTCTTCTTGCAGGTTTCACCTAATCTGCTCCTCATATGTTCACATCTCAGTGCAAACAAAGTTGTTTTCAGGCAAAAATATACAGCGTGGACTTAGCATCATAGAACACCTACATTATAGAGATATGCAGCTCTTGCTCTTCTGTTGTGTTTGCTTTTACTTTTTGTACAGCTATGTATGTCTACTTATGCATGCAGTAAATAATTCTATTTCGTCCCCTGTGCTCAATCAGGAAATCATGGTGCGTTTGGCAAATACAGGCATACAAAGAGAAAAAGCTTTCTAAACTTGTAAGCAGAGCTTGGCTTACAGATGATTTAAATCAGCTGAAGCCTCCAGGAGGGGACGAGCTGGAGCATAATTAGAAAGAATTCACTGAAACCCGAGAGGACTAAGGGCTTCTGAATGGCTTCCTTCGCAGAGAAAGAAAAAGCAGCTGAATTACATAGTGATCGCAAAAAAACACATTTGTTGCCCCGTTTTTTAGCAGCAGAGAAATAATACGATTATTGTGGTTGTTGCAGAGTGTAGTCTCCCGTAACGTAACGACGTGTGGTAAACATAGATGGCTGGTTCTACATCATGCCCTTAGGAGACATACCCCTAGACATTTACTCCGTAGTTTCTTGTTGAAGAGCTAGCTCTTCATAGATTCCCAAAGGTGCCAAACTACCATACCAAAAACTGTGGAAGGCTTGCGCACGTAACTCAGCTGTGGCTGCCAACACTCTTGTCATATTAAATCATTAAAAATGTGTTAAAGAGAAATCCTACGGTGTTACAGAAAATGGTATCGAATTTGAAACGGTCCAGGTAATAACCCCCCACTCATCGATCAACGGGGTAGCGGGCCCTACGCCCTCTTATTCCGTGAGCTGACTTGTGAGAAGCCCGAATGGGTTCCATCTCCAAGCCAAACTGTTTCGAATAAGGATGTTCAACTGGGGCTTTTTTTATATAGATCTGCAGTTTCTCACTGCGTAGCTGTCTGACAAGCCAAAGGATGCTTCTGTGGGTACTCATGTGACTTGAAGGATATTGTTTCGACTTTGCCAGCTGCTGCAACACCGTAGAGCAGTATGTGCTTCTCTTTTCTAATTTGCAATTTTTAATTGGTTTCGGCATGGCCTGTTCAGAGATTTTTATTTTATTCGCCCAATGGGCTGTGGTCTCCGCGCCAGCCACGGTGGGATCTGGATTATGTTTTTACGTTAGGCAGCATAGTAGTTCTATCTGGTAAGCAGGCTTGATGCTTTGTCACTACGAAGCCTGCATGCGTTATATTTTGGCCTTCGCACTTTCACGTGAATGGTTCCACATACGGATTGGAGGAGCAACTAAGCAGGACATAGTCGCGCCCCCCTGGCAGACTTCAAACTCAGCTCCTGAGTGAGACTGCGGGACGCGGAGGAAGTACAATGGCACTCGCTAAGATGCCGCAGGAACAGGACCTGCAAGTAATCCAGGACAATACGGCGAATGATGAGGAAAATGCAGGCCGGCGGAGTGTCAAGGAAGAGGAATTTGATGACGCTCCCACGCGCCTCCCACATTCCGGAACACCACGAGGGCCAAAAAGTAAACCAGGTCTCTATGTAATTCTTGTCACGTTGCTAGTGGCTGGCTTGATTGCCTGCAGGACAGTGAGTAGAAGTGCAGCAAGGCACGTTGCATCTCGCGCAGAGAACGACGGTATACCAGGAGCGCGCGTTGAAGAGAGGCACTTGAGAGAAAACGCCAGGAGCCAGTTTAAAGAAAGCTATAGTGAACAGAGACGATCTTTGTCGAAAGAAAAACAAACAGGCGGAGATGCAAAAGCTGAAGAGGAAGGTGTCCATGTGCCTGGCGAAATCGAGGACCTCAGAAAGTCCCGTATACCAGAGGTTGCTATTATGGAGGGCAAACTGGAAAAGTCGCGAAAGCTTTTGAGCGCGGCAGATCGCCTCGCATTTTTAGTAACGAAGCCTCAGGCCAAAGAACTGATAGGAGATGCACATGAACACGTGGAGCAGGCCCGCTTGCAGTTTACAAATTCAGGAGACATAATTGCCAGCGAAGAGCAACTCCTGCTCGCAGTACAGGATGTGCGTAAATTGTACCTTGCCGCGATTGCGCAATGTGACGCTCTCGTGAACAAGGTTGATATGAGCGAATTTTTCCCAATGGCAGGCCTGGAAACTGAAGGAGATGAGACCCCATTGAAAGCCGGCAAACTAAACCCCGAAGACACAGTTCAAAGCATGATGATCACATTCTATGAAATCAAGGATGTTTACTTCGAAATGATCGAACAGTTTCAGGGAGTCGGTCGAGCACCGTTGAACAGCAAGCCATTTGAGAATGAAGAAGATATCGACGTGTTGACTGACATTTCAGATGACCTTCTTTTCCTGTGGAATGCAGTAGCGTCTCAACAGAACCTCGTGTGGCTTGCAAACGAGTTCAGAAATCGCATTTTCACCGGTCTGAAAGAGCACATGCTAAGTGTTTCCAAAACGCTCCTCGCATTTTCAGAATCTCGTCTCAAGCACGCGCAAATCACAATTAAGCTAGCAAGGAAAGCTCACAAGCCCAAGGGATATGCATCAAAAACGTACGAACTCAAATTTGCGGAAAAGAAACTTGCGGAGGCGGAAAATGGGCTGAATGCGCTGCGAGAACGGATCAAGGAACTAGAAGCAACTACAAAGTGGGAAGATATGTCTGAGGATACGAAGGTTGTACTGCTGCAGGAGGCTGAACAGGCCAAGAAGCTAATGCTTGGCTTGCATAAACCTGTGTCGGAAGTCCCTTCAATACCACATGACTTGAAATTACAGAGCGAGGAGCTAATTTTAGATGAAGCTGAGGGCGTTCATAATGCCTGCCTTGCGGAGAGTCATGCTGTGCGTGAGCTGTTGAAGGATGCGAAGGCGAGGCTTGAAGCATGGCTAGAGGGTGCTTACAGTGAAGGGATGGACGACACAATCCAGCTCAGTGAAGACGTTTACTCTGAGCTGTTATCCAAAATCAAGCAAATACGCGAGCAAGCGAAGCAGGAGGTGACGGCAGCCGCGCAGTCGCTCCTGCAAGCGAAGGAAGCGCTGGGCGCAGCAGGTGCTGCTGACCCTCTCAAAACACAGACGGAACGTTTGGTCAATTTAATAAGTATACGGGAGAAGGCACGCCAACTTGCGCTCGAAAGCGAACGATTAGAGCTGTCTGAGCTAGAATTTGCTTCGCTGCAACGCGTAGCTACTGACGCCAAAATCTACAGATTCCGTGATTCATCTGCAGCCAAGGAACACATAATTACCGACACGAAGGAATACGAAGAAGCGAAACGGGCCGTTGTGCAGTCTGAAACTGTAGTAGAAATGCAGGCAGCAATGAACAGGCTGAGACGGTCAGTGGCGGCAATGACCCGGAACATCGCAAATGACAGAATGAGGAAGGAATCCTAGGCCGACAACTCCGTGGACGGGTTTATTTGTTCCCTTTTGACGGTAAAGTCTGTTGATGTTTACCTTTTTTGCTAGGAACACAAACCTGCAGCCATGTGTCTGCGCATTTCAATGCAGTTCGTAGCAGCCATACAGCACTACTGACATGCCGATTTTTTTTTTTCAAGCGCATGCAAGGCGTGGCCTTGCAGCGCTGTTTCGAGGAATTCGGCAGTGAGCTCCTAAACACCAACAGAGAGCTCCTATGGTTTGAATACCATAATGCTAGTAAAGAGATATCACAGCTCTTGCGCTTTTTATTCCTGAGCAGTACTTGTACCGGACTTCGTCCGCTACAACCGAGTTTCCTTGCATTTGTTTCTCCATAGGCTTAAGCTCGAGAATAGCAGTTGCTCCTGGCCACAGCCCAGACACTCCAGGTTTCAATAGTTGCTCGAAAATTCACCTACCAGATCGCCCGTCTGTAGAAAGACAAGCAACTGAAGATTCCGGGAGACAACCAAATTCGTTAAGTATTCGAGCCAATGCGGATAAAAGCGTCGTGCATATGGAGGCCTTGGTCATCCGGACCCGGGCGGTCAAGAAGTTTTGTAGTGGGGTCTGGACACACTTTTGCCGTTAATGTCTACTTTCTGCTGATTCCAACATGCGTACAGAAGTCAGGGGACCTCAGTTGACGTCATTTGAAGCCCGTGCTTGTGGCCTTGAAGTGGGTTCCCGCATCGCTCGCGTGCACACTATATCTGCTCACATTCACACTAAATCTTCTTGCCGTTTCACAAACCTGCTCCCGGCTGCGTCGGAGTAGAGTATGGGTAGCTACGCAGTATTTTGGAATCACGCGTCACGGTAGTTCTACAATTAAGCCACGTTCGGAGGCACTGCGGGCTCTGCTATAGCGTCGCCAATGCTCAAGACGCTGCTTCTGGTTGAAAAGAAAGTTCGATGCTTCCGAGCTCCATCTTAACTTTCCTTCAGCGTGAGGCACTAATTAAGATTCGTTACTTTAGAATAGTTGAAGTTTGATCGTTAATTCCAGGGGAACACCATCAGCTCAGCACTACTTTAAATGATACCATTAATTGACAACAGACGGCAAATGAGGAGCAACAACAATCAAAAGCCATTAAAAACGAAACTTAACAGAGGCGAAGCGCTCCGTGTGGGCAAGGTGAGCCAGTGGCTCTCCACCAATGAGCTGGCCTGCGCTGGTTCGGCTGCTAGCTATCGAAGCCAGATTGACTTCCAATGGAACACCCTCAAGCCCCGGTTGAGCAATATGGAGGCAGCAAAATATAGATCTTGGAGTAATTCAGGCTGCAGTTGCAACAGAGCGAACCGAGTCTTCAGCTGCTGCTGGGCTAACACCGTTCGCGATTGCCACAGAGCTTCCTGGAGAAAAAGCTTTTGATTTCTCAGGCCAAAGGCCTTCAATTAACAGGAAGCTTGCGCCTCAGCGGGGCGCAGAAGCTTCATCAAGAAAACAAGCTTAGAATCTATAAACCTAAAATCTCGACTGCTGACCCCTTGAGCCTAGGCCGCGTGTCTGAAACCCTAGGGCTGTTGTGTCTCTTGTATGCGTTTAGGTTTGCAGTAAGCATTGACCAGCGTAGCAGCTGTAGCAGCAATGTCAGCCATGAGAGGCTTCATAGCTTGTTTCGGGTGGAGGGGGAAAAGAGAAAAGCGAACAGGCGTAAGATCTGCTGCTGCCATCCCCTTGTTGCTGCGGGTCGAGTTCTTCCCTTTGTTTCCCTTGTGCTGTTTCTGGAGGTGCTGCTGCTCAAGCTGCTGCAGTATCCGTAGAGCCCTTGCTTCAGCCAATACGTAACACACCAAAGCGCCCGAGTATGCCCTGAAAGGGAAACACGCCAGCGGACGTTCAACGTGTAAGGTGTAAAAACACTTGAAATGTTTACCAAAGCGCAGCAAATTCTGTACTTCAAACTATTATCAATCCATAAGCTTCAGTGAACATCGAAAAGTCTCAGGGGCACGCCCAAGAAGACACATATTCATGGCTGAAAGTTTAATGCCCAACGCTGCTCATCTTATGAGCTGGCTCTGCGGATTTCGAAATACGACCGATATCTAATTTTTAGACTTTACCCTTCCATCTGTCGAAGGTAATTAAGCGAGAGAACAGGAAATGAGTCTTCAAGTCTGTAGGGAGCCACGCTGTGCATTTGGAGGCACACGCAACGGCGCAAGTACACATGGGAAAGCAGCAAGGCAGAAGCAGTGGAGCTCAAGCGGGCGAAGAAATGCAAAGAAGAAAACAAAGCGAAAATAGGAGAAGCAACGGGCACGAAAACAGGCTTTGAATGCTTGAGCACACTACCAATACAGCAACAGCTGCAGCAACACAACTAAATTACGCTTACCAACAGCAGCAACAACAGCGGCAAGTGGGACAGCGGCATGTGGGAAAAGAAAACCCACAGGAACAGCAGCATCAACAGAAAGGGCAAAAGTAACGCCAAAAGCAAGCGCCTACTCTTCAATAGCCCCTTTGATAGTGCGTTCTAGTGTATCTGTAGTTGCTGTTGCTGCGTCCAGTGTGTGGACAGCATAGTCAACTGCAGCAGCGACAAAAAGAGAATTAGGATGAAGTAAATCCAATAGGTCGAAGCCCAGGTTCCTACGTGCACGCGAACACACGGCACATAAGGCACACAACTGCTGCTGCTGATGCTGGTCAAAATGTTGCTGCCAATGGCATGGCCGCTGCAGCCAATGTTTTCACTGAGGAAGCTGTTGACGCTGCTGCTCGCTGCGTTGTGTGGGCTGTGGGCCTAGTTTAGTGGAGGCGTTGGCTCTGTACTGCACGGTATTTTGCCTTCATTTTCTTCTTTTTCGTTTTGAACCTGGTGTTTTATCTTCACGCCAATTCGTCCCGAGTTAGACAGTTTAGTGGTTGATTCGCATGAATCTCAAGCTATTGAAGTTAGTCTACTTTGCAGGCTTATTTTAACTCACGATGCATGCGCCAGCGTTAGGGGGCTGTTCTTGTCTTTGTGCTTCGACAAGCTCATCAAGAATTCTGGTTGCCGCAGTATGTGCCTAACACAGAATGCAGAGCAGCACAATAAACCAGCTAGCTAGGGTCTTAGCTAGCCAGCTGAATAGGCACTTTCACTGCGCTGGAGCCGGCAGTTGGTGCTGAACAGTTGGGGCAAATAGCTAACTAACGTGCTTAGCTAATTGCAGCTGCTGCTGGCTAGCGGCTGCAGCTAGCTTGCTTATTTGGCTAGGCTGTGGTTACAGGCAGTCAGCTACTGTGGCTAGCCAGCTAGCCAGCTAGGTGGCTTGTGGTCGAACTGCCTGACTCGTTGAGGAGAGCAAACGTTTCGTCGAAGTCGAGTGGTCTCTCCTTGACAAACGCGTCCTGCAGAATGCATTTACAAATAACAACAGGAATCATAATATAAATGTAGCAACACTTTGAACTAAAACAGATGGAAAAGACCGAGACGCAGTCCTTATACTGAAACCTGTGCTTCAGATCTCAAACCCCCCAGAGCAGCGCCGCAACTGCAGGCCCCACTACACTTTCGCAAACCATTATCTTACGGCGTCTTCTTGCAGCATTTCCTTAAAGGCGTGGCCAAGCTCATGGGCCAACACCTTCAGCTGCACAAACAGGAGGCGCCCGAAGTGGAAATGGAAAACCCTAAACCACACTTGTAGGCGATGCAAGGGTTTCTGTTGGGTTTCTGTTGCCTAAGTCCTTTCCCCAAAACCCCCCGTGGCTCCCAAGCCCCACACTTTAGGCCTTAGGTCTTAAGGTGTGAATCTCACTTCTTGCAGGTCTAGTAGCCTTGCTTGCATGTGTTTGGGTGGGGGCAGCTGCGCATACACAGCGTGGTGGAGAGCCCCCAGTTTGATGTGGCAGGGGAAGGAGGGTGGCCTTGGGGGCTGCAGGTAGTGCGAAAGACGCAGCGGAAAGAATGGGTGGTAATACAGAAAACCCAAAAAGCGGCATTTAGACAGACTGGAAGCAGGAGCTGTAGGTACACCCCAAGCCGCTGACTCAGAAAGCGGGGTGTAGGCACTCAGCTGAGCACACAGAGAGCCAAATAAGCCCTTTGGCGGGCGGCTAGCTGAGCTAGCCAGGCCAAGGCCAGCCTGGCCACTGGGGATATCTGAGAGAGTATCCCCAGCACGGCTAGCCGGGCCAGCTACAGGAGGACGGCTATCTCCGGAGGCGTGTCTAGCTGAGCTAGCCATGGCGTGGCTAGCTGAGCTAGCCATGGCTTGGCTAGCTGCAGGCTGCTGAGGCTGGGCGTGGGCTGAAGTGTCGTAAACGGCAAAAACTTCGCCCAAATATGAAAAGCCGTTGAATGACCTGCACACAGACCGTAGGCCGCCAGGCGCAAGCCTCACGCTGTTAGTTCTAAACCCTAAACCCTAAACCCTAAACCCTTGAACAACAGAGTCTGAACCCGCCACCCCTTAAGCCGGCCCAGAACTCTTACTCATTACTTTAATATCTAATGCCACAGCCCTCGTCGTTTTCGAATTTGTGCAATTCCAAACTATAAACACCTACTTCCCCTTATACTTCAAAAAAGGGTTTAGGGTTTAGTGCTTTGCTCGCCTGCCGTATCCTCTCCACTGTTTCTTCAGCAGCGGCTCCAGCCTAAGGCCCAGAGCAGCAGCTAGCTGGTGCGGCAGCTGGCTAGCTGAAAGAGACTCAGGGAACCAAGCAGCAGCTTCCAAGTCGCTTGCGCCCCGCCCGTAGGCCTGAGCGCAAACCCTAAACCCTAAACCCTAAACCCTAAACCCTAAACCCTAAACTCTAGACACTAGCCCCTAAACAGTACATAACAGGCGAAAACGCAGGCAGTCTGGGACGCAGCTTCCGTACCCTCAGAGCTGCTGCTAACCACTGGTCAACCGTGGGACGCCACTGCTGCAGTCTCGGCTGCTGCTCCCGCTGCTGTTGCTGCTGCTGCTGCTGCTGCCGCAGAGCGTGTCCCAGCTGCTGGGGAGCCCTTTGCGCTGCAGCAAGGCCAATAGACCGCAGCAGCAGCGGCACTTGCCTCCAATAGTGGCCCTCTGCTGTTTGTCTTTTGATGCGCAGTTCTGCCCAGCAAGAGTAGCCGCAGCTAGCTGCAATTTGCTGCCTCTGCTGCAGCAGCAGCAGCAGCTGCTGCAGCAGCTGCTGCTGCTGCGGTCGGTGCGCCTCGTTCCGTAGCTCCGCCCACTGCGTCACCAAGTCTTTGCCTGCAGCCTCTTCTGAACTTAGGGCTCGCGCTGAGGGTTTAGGGTTTGGGCTTTGGGGAAAAGAGGGTTTAGGGTTTAGGGTTTGCAGCAGCGCCAACACTGTCTCATAGTTCGAACCCTCATAAGGCACATGAAGAGCTCCCCTGCTGTCTGTCTTGTACAGCTGCTGCAGCAGCTTAGCTCCGGGGCCCCCCAGGCAGGCAGCAGCAACAACCAACTCCCTGCATGCAGCAGCAACAGCAAAACCCCTGCATGCAGCAGCAACAACCAACTCCCTGCATGCAGCAGCAACAGCAAAACCCCTGCATGCAGCAGCAACAACCAACTCCCTGCATGCAGCAGCAACAGCGAAACCCCTGCATGCAGCAGCAACAACCAACTCCCTGCATGCAGCAGCAACAGCAAAACCCCTGCATGCAGCAGCAACAACCAACTCCCCGCATGCAGCAGCAGCAGCAAAATCCCTGCATGCAGCAGCAACAACCAACTCCCTGCATGCAGCAGCAACAACAAAATGCTGGCATGCAGCAGCAACAGCAAAACCCCTGCATGCAGCAGCAACAACCAACTCCCCGCATGCAGCAGCAACAGCAAAATCCCTGCATGCAGCAGCAACAGCAAAATCCCTGCACGCAGCAGCAGAGCAGCAGCTCTGCTAGGGCCCCTCCCTTCGGGGGAGCCTGGCGCGAGGCAGAGGCTGGCGCCCTGATGCCCGCTTCTCTTAGGTTCTAGGGTTTAGGGTTTAGGGTTTAGGGTTTAGGGTTTAGGGTTTACGGTCTTGCGGTTGCTTTCGCGACGGCGCGGCAAAAGCGGGCACTTGTTTCGTCCACCAGGCGTTGCTGCTCCACCGTAAGGCCCCGGCGAGCAGCAGCAGCAGTTTCTTCTTCTTCCAGCTTTGCAGGCTGCTGCTGCTGTTGCTGCTGCTGCTGCTGCTGCTGCTGCTGCTGCTGCTGCAGCAAGAGAAGGCTGTCTATGAGCGCCTCCAGGGGCCTTATTGCGAACCGCGAAGTTAAGAAAGACGGCTTGACGAAGCAGCAGTAATTCAGCTGCTGCTGCAGCTGGCAACTCCGGTCTATCAGGTATGCCAGATACTTCTGCTGCTGCTGCTGCTGCTGCTGCTGCTGCTGCTGAAGGCCACGCCGCACTGCAGCACGGAGGGCCCTGGAGGCCCTCACTGCAGCAATCCAGTTGAAATCGTAGGGGAATAAAGGGCCTTCATGGAAAACTTGTTGCCTCTGCGAAATGGCAGCTGCAGCTGCTACTGCTGATGGTGTTTGGAGCTCTCGCTGCTTCTGCTGCTGCTGCTGCGCTGCAGCAAATTGCTGCGGCGTCTGCACATAACACACAAGGGGCTGGCGGCCTCTCCACAGGCCCCACAAGCCGTGAAGGGCTAAGTATAAGTGCTCCCGTGCTGCCATCACTGCTGCAGTTGCTGCTGCACAGCTAATTGCCCGTGAAAGCCGTCCATAGTTAGGGCGGCAGCGGCAGCAGCTGCCGCGGCCTCGCTGGTACTTATTTCGACTATGTCCTGGAAGTCAAAAGGAGAAAATAAGCTCAATATAACGGTGGGAAAGGCTCCTGGAGCCCGCAAGACCAGCGGTGGCGGCCCCTGGAGGCCTTTGGAAGAGCAGCAGCATATGATTATGGCATTGCTGGGAGGGGTAAGGAGCCGCAAATAGCCCCGGATCAGAGTAAGCAAGATGATATATATGGCATTTAATTTAATAATTTAATTTAATTTCGAAGCCCCGCTTTAAAACGGTGAGCATACCTCCTGTTCTCAGTAGCGGCTCCAGCCGTTCCCGTAGGGGCTCTGGCTGCTGCTGTTAGCTTTGTCTCGAGTTGGCAGCAACTTTAATACTTTTCTCATTCAATGATTTCCCATGCTTTTTTCGGAAGGATTAAAATGCATGGCGTAAGCTCCAGTGTGTGCAGCCGTGGTTCAGTTTGCACGGCTCGCCAGCAGCGCCGATACAAAATGCCTCTGTTTCATTCATGTTTCCCCCCGACTTCTTAAGATATTAGCATCAAAATAAAACGCTGCTAGCTCCAGCAACGTTTATTTTAGTCCTTCTACTGATTCCATGCAGCGTTTTCCCCAGATCACTGCAGTTACAGGCTACAGAGGCATTAAATCGCCGCATGAACCCGTCTCGCTTCTAGAACTGTGTAGCCCTGTTTCACTTCCCGAAAAAAATATTCAAATTACCTGCAAGGCTTTGGGGGAAAGCCTTCATGCTTTGCAAGTTTCGCCCAGCCTTTAGAGTGCTGCCCCCGCTGCATTCTTGGCTCTTGCCCACGTGTGCAATTGGCTGAAACCTCTCTGGGTTCTACTCAAAGTTTTGGCTTTCGTGTTGTCTCTGTAGCCAATTAATTAAATTGTTTTCAATGTTTCAGTTCTATAGACACGTGTAGGTGGTTTGTGTGGTAACCACTCTTTGCATACTGTGTTTTCCGAATCAACTTCATTTGGGCCATTTAACAAGCTGGATTTAGTAGTTCCCGTGAGAAGGTCTTTTTTCACTAAGCCAAAACTGCCGATATTTTCACAGAGTCTGTTACTTAGCCGTTTGCGTCACTTATTCCCACCTCAATAATTGCAACAAATTGCCCTGCTGAAGTCACTTCGTTCTGACAGGCTTCTGATTGATTCCATCACTGTCCTTGGAAGGTTTAAGCCTTGTCTTTCCAAAACAAAAACTAATTATACAGCTGTATGTGAGAAGTCAGCTTTATGTCGCAGACGACCTAAGGATACTGCCATCGTTCAATAGTGATGAAGTGTTTTCTTTCGTGCGTGAGTACGGTAATTGTGGCTGCTTGTTTCGGAACCACTTTGCAAAGCTGCTTGCATTAGCATTTGCACTTATTATATAGTATCAAATTGCTTGCGAAAATCAGTTAAAGCCGCACATAAAAGGGGAAAAAGACGGCCGTTGCGCACAGGATCGTTCTAAATTGCGAACTGTTGATCCCGCATTTTGTTCTTCTGTTTACTTTGACACAAATCCAGAAGAACATTCTGTTTACTTTGACACAAATCCTTCAAACTAAATGCATGAGCCACCGCTTGAAGGCGGTGGCCACACACAAGGGGCGGAACTGCCATCACTTTATTAGCATTTGGAAAGCTTACAGGGCTGCGGCATCATAATGAGACTTTCAGGCTGGAGATCCCCTACTGAATCTGCAAAGTTTTATAGCTAACAGGCAATGGGGCACTTAGAAGTGGACAACTAAGCTGAAGGTGAATGACAAGATAGTAAACACCAAGGGGCACTTTGGGAAGCAAAAGCCTTCTGTGCAAACACTGCTGGCAACTGGTGGAATTGTCTGACTACAGACAAAAGAAATTAAAACGGCAAAACCGAAAGAGAGCAAAATGCTTCCAAGACAAGCTGGCGAGTTCGAAAGAATGGGACTCACAAGCACTTGTACGCAGATTTCCTGCGTTTTGTATCCTTTTGATCTTCCATGCAGCAAGGCAGATGAAAACAAGACTAGAAAACAAACATTTTCAGTGGCTGTATATCCCTTGCAGCCGGAAGTTCTGCCAAAGAATTCATTGCAGAGTGGTGCCAGTCCTTGAGAGCCAAAGCTGCAGCTACCGACTGATTCAAGAAGGGTAAAACCTTTCTTGAAGCTTACGTGGATGTTACCTGAGTGGTCTATTAACATGTATTGAGCCTGAGAGCCACTTGTCTGATAAAATTTCTAGTTTTCTGCATGCACTTGCACCTACGAAGCCAGCAATCAGGCTGGAGTCAGTGCCCTCACCATGAAGTGGCGCTAAATGATAAGTGCTTGCTTGAGTGTGCTGTGCAACGGGATATTTTGGCTTGTTTGCTGCTATTCTGGTCCTCTGGACGTCTTCTCGCGACGCTGAACCCTAAACCCTAAACCCTAAACCCTGAAAGCAGCGGCGACAGGCTCGGCACCGCTGAAACTGCTCTACAGCGATCACTGAACTCCTTGAAGTGCACAGGGGCTACTGGCAGCTGTTTAGAGCTATGAAGAGAAGAGAAACGAAACAATTCAGAAATTCGATATTTGAAGAGCTGCCTGAACACAGTTCATGTTCTGCGGCCTGGGGAAGCTCCCAAGACAGAGTGAGAAACTCTAGGACAGCTCTGGTAAGCTCTAAGCGCTCTGAAATCTCATATATACTGCTGAAGGAATTAAGCAGAGTAAAGGAAATCAGTAGTTGCCTTCGCAAGTCCAAGCAGTCTTGAAATGCTCTGGGAGGCCGGACACATAGGAGAAAAGACAGCAGTAGGCGGGCCAAGACTTCTGCAAAATGGCCTTTAGTGAATTTCTGAAATAAAAAATAATTAAACAGCTGTGGGGCGGACACCGCCAAACTAACCCCCAGCACGTGTGCCTGCTGAGCCAATTCAAGTCTTAGAGCAAGAAGTGAAAGTCCTCAAAACAGTCCCATACTCCTGTCCTGCGACAGAGGAGACTATTCCATGAAGAACTTCAATTATATTTCTAAATTAGAAGGCCAAAGTTGCACGACAAGGGAAAAATGCTGCAGTTGTTGATCTGGAGGAGGTCACTTAGCACCCATGCAGAAGAGCTGTACTCGGACCTGCTCGCGTGCGACCGCGGGAGCCAATTTGCAGCGGCAAAAAGGCAATATTGATATTTATATTGGACTAAAGTTGAAAGTTTTAACTGTTCCATGTAAATTGGAGAAAATTTGGTCCTTTTCCACAGCGAACTGGGCTGCTTCCGTGCCCCCTGGCCCCTGTGGCAGGCTGAGCGTGAAGCGCGCACAACACAGAACCTGCCGCAGTTTCTGAGGATGCAGTGGACTGCAGCACACGATTTTATGTTTATATTTGCTATATTGCATTAAGGCAAGAACGTGGGTGGCTTTTTGGGGAAATATATTTCTATAAATTTCCAAAGGCCAAGGAAGGCGAGCAGCGCTGCGCCCAACCCAGGATATCCTAGCTGCTCATGTGAATAAACAATAACTTATTTATATCCAAAAAACAAAAAAGGATACTTAAAAACATGAGTTACCAATCGTGTTCTGGCGTTGCACCGGATTGAATGCTAATGTTCACGACGTCGCTGCCACTGCCCGCTGTGTCCTTAGCCCGGTTCGCTGAAAATCTGCAGGGGCTCTTAGACCTGGTCTGAGACTCGAGCCCATTTAAAGGCGATTATTGTCAAATTGACAATTAAAACAAGAATATTAAGTTTAGAAACCTTCGGGTTTTGTCTGTGCGCCGCAGCGCAGCGCCGCGCACCACCCAGGCTTCTGAGCAGCCTCTGGCGCTGCTCACAGCCCACGCACTTGTTCAAGAGCCTGCGAAGCTGCAAAGGGATTAACTCTGCAGTGTCTGCGAGGCGCAGCAAAGCTGCGAGTCTTTGCTGCTGCCAGCCCCAAGCCAGAGGCTCAAGACTGCCTTGGCCTGCAGGCGGTCGCCAGCCCCAGTGCTCGGGTTTCCCCGACAAAGGGGGCTCTTTTTTTGCTCTTTTTCGCCTTAAATGCAATTCTAAAGCTTTATTTCAGCATTTGGCACTGCAAAACTGCAGATTTGAATTCAAACGACACTCAACAATGCCAAACGCTGGATGACCCGTGGCCGTCGATTCCGTGCCAGTCGATCCTCGCAGTGAGCTGGTAGGCGCGCAGCAGCTCTGCTGCTGCTCAGTGGCATTATTGAAACATTTTTATTCATTTTTTTATTTTTTAAAGCGAACAACTTCTTCTGAGACTCCAGTTGGTTGGCCTTAAATGGATGGTCACCTTGCGCGCACTGGGACGGCGGTTTCACTAGTCCGCCGCTGCTCCTGCAGCAGCTGCAGCGGCAGCAGCAGCAGCAGCGGCAGCAGCAGCAGCAGCAGCAGCTGCTACTCCAGATCCTGCAGCGCCTTCGCTGCTCCTGCGCCCCAAAGCCGCAGACACCTGCAGCAGCATTTTGCTGCTGCTGCCGTGGCTTTGCAATGCGGCCTCCAGGCTGTTGGTCTTTTTCTAGAGCTCCCCGCAGCAAATTAGCCGTTCTATATCTATGCTTTTTTTGCTGCTCTTGTGGCACACTGGCAGCACCAGCAGCAGCAGCAGCAGCAGCAGCAGCAACGGCAGCAGCAGAGTCGGGGAGGCTGCGAGCAGCACCCTTAGGTGATGCGTCTGCTGCAGCTGCTGCTGCTGCTGCTCCGCCCCAGCTCTACTCGCGGGCCGGCGTTGGAGCGGACGCGCCACTCCTGGACAGCAGCAGCAGCAGCAGCAGCAGCAGCAGCAGCAGCAGCGGGAACCGGCAGCTAACGGCAAATGCACCAGCACTGCAGCAGAACTTCCGGCAAACAAAATGGAGCTCTGTGTCTGTGGGGCGAAGATGGCTGGCAGCTGCTGCTCTTTGCATCTTTGCAGCAGCTTATTTGGTGCTGCGCTGCTCTCGTGCTGCTGCTGCTTCCGCGCTGCAGCAGCAGCAAGGGCTTGCTTCGCGTGAGCTAGCTGAGGGCAGCAGCAGAGAAGACAGCCACCGCGAGGACGCCGGCAGCAGCAGCAGCAGCAGCAGCTGGGACTGCTTGGGGCCGGGGCAGGCCCCGCCAGCTGCTGCTGCTGCTGCTGCTGCTGCTGCAACTGCTGCTGCTGATCCTGCAGAAGCTCCTGCTACGCCTGCAGAAGCTAATCTTGCGAGCACAGAGGACGGCGCTGCTGCTGCTGCAGAAGGCGGTGCTGCTGCTGCTGCTGGTGCTGCTGCTGCTGCTGGTGCTGCTGCTGGAGGCGGCGTTGCAGCAGGAGAGGGCGCCGCTGCAGCTGCTGCAGCAGACGACGGTGATGCTGCTGCTGCTGCTGCAGAAGGCGGCGTTGATGCTGCTGCAGGAGAGGGCGCGGTTGCTGGTGCTGCTGCTGCAGCAGGAGGCGGCGCTGCTGCTGCTGGTTGGAATGACAGGGCTGGGGTGTCGGGTGCTGCTGCTGCAGCAGATGCTGGTGCAGCAGGGGCTGCTGCAGCAGGGGCTGCTCCAGCAGATGCTGGTGCAGCAGGGGCTGCTGCAGCAGGTGCTGGTGCAGCAGATGCTGGTGCAGCAGGGGCTGCTGCAGCAGGGGCTGCTGCAGCAGATGCTGGTGCAGCAGGGGCTGGTGCAGCAGGGGCTGGTGCAGCAGATGCTGGTGCAGCAGGGGCTGCTGCAGCAGGGGCTGCTGCAGCAGATGCTGGTGCAGCAGGGGCTGCTGCAGCAGGGGCTGCTGCAGCAGATGCTGGTGCAGCAGGGGCTGGTGCAGCAGGGGCTGGTGCAGCAGATGCTGGTGCAGCAGGGGCTGCTGCAGCAGATGCTGGTGCAGCAGATGCTGCTGCAGCAGGTGCTAGTGCAGCCGGTGCTGGTGCAGCAGGTGCTGCTGCAGCCGGTGCTGCTGCAGCAGGTGCTGGTGCAGCCGGTGCTGCTGCAGCAGGTGCTGGTGCAGCAGGTGGCGCTGCAGGAGTCGCTGCTGGAGCTGGTGCTGGTGCTGAAGCTGCTGCTGCTGCTGAAGCTGCTGCTGCTGCTGGAGCTGCTGCTGCTGCTGAAGCTGCTGCTGCTGCTGAAGCTGGTGCTGCTGCTGAAGCTGCTGCGGAAGCGCTGCTGGTGGAGGAGCGAGCAGCAGCGGTGCTGCGGCAGGCGCGGCAGCTGATGCTGCTGGGGGGGCGGCTGCTGCCGCTGCTGCCGGAGTGGCAGCTGTCTTCGGGAGTGGTGGTGCTGCTGTCTTTGGTGACGCAGGAACTTGCTGCGCTGCGCTGCTTGCTGGGGCCGCTGCTGCAGCAGCAGTACCGAGCAGCAGCAAGAGCTGTGGAGCAAGAAGCCCGCAGACTTCTGCGGCGCTGGAAGAACAGCGGGGACTTAACAGGAATGGTGCGGCGGACTCGGCGGCTGCTGGGGGTGCTGCTGCAGTCCGCGGAGTTGGTTGCTGCAGCGCCTCCGGAGCAGTACGGGGAGCAGCAGCAGCTGCTGCTGCAGTCGCTGGACTCCAGCAGCTTCGTGCTGCAGCGCTGCGCCGACGTGCTGCTGCTGCTGCTGCCCTGGACGCAGCAGCAGCACGAAGCCAAGTTCTTTGCTGCAGTCTGCCGCAGGCAGCGGCTGAACAACGTGGGCATGGCTTCCTGGGCCGGCTTCGCGCCGGCGAAGCTGGGCACTTCCATTGCGCACTTTTTGTCCAAAACTCGGTCTTCTCGCGGATATTATTTCGCATCTTTTCCATTTTATTTCGACTTTTTCATTCTTTGCGAAAAAGGAGCCAAGCAGGGCGTACTGACATGGCGAAACCAGGCAGTGCCGCACGTCGACAGCTTCCCGCCGCCGCAGCAGCAGCAGCAGCAGCACGCAGCAGCAACGCTGCCGCTGCTGCGCCACGTCCTCTACACCTTCCACGGCTGCGTCTACGCAGCAGCAAAAGCTGCAGGTTCTCACCGGGACTTCCGCTCCGCCAGTTTGCTGCGCGCGGAGAGCCAGCAGCGCCGCAGGGCCTGGGGAGTTCCCGAGGAAACTCTTGCTGCTGCTGCTGCGCTCGGCGCCGGCAGCAGCACCATGCAGCTGCTCCACCGCTGCCGCGCCCCGCGCCACGGCAGAGCCGCCGCTGCTGCTGCTGCTGCTGCTGCTGCTGCTGCTGCTGCTGCTGAGTATGAAGACGAGGATAAGGAGTATGACTTCGCAGCTCTTCCTGGTCCTGATGCTGACGCTCTTGCTGCTGCTGAAGAGGACGACGCTGCTGCAGCGCTCTATGAGGCGCCGCTGCTGCAGCCCGCCGGCCAGCCCCTCGAACACTCACAGTGGGAACTGCAGCAAGGCAGCAGCAGCAGCAGCAACTCAAAAGCCCACCTCGAAACCTTTTCAGATCCCGATTCTTCGGAAGAAGAAGATTTCTTGGACGTGGAGGAAGCAGACGAGGGGCCTCTGGAACATCTAGACAGCCGGCAAGGCTCTGCTGCAGCCGGCCGGGCCAGCGCTGCCCCCGAATCTGTTGCTGCTCGCAGCACTGCGCCGCCTCCTTGGGATCCTCAGGAGTCCGCTGATGCGGCTGCTGCTGCTGCTGCTTCTCTTGCTGCTGCTGCTGCTGCTAAACTTCGTGATCCTCATAATATCCCTCCTCGTTTTTCTGCTCTTCTGTCTTCCGTTGCTGGTCATGCTGCTCTTCGCGCTAGGGGTCCTCAAGGTGCTCAGAGCGCAGCTGCTGCTCGTCCTGCTGCTTCTCCTGCTGCTGCTCGTCCTGCTGCTTCTCCTGCTGCTGCTCGTCCTGCTGCTTCTCCTGCTGCTGCTCGTCCTGCTGCTCCTCCTGCTGCAGCTCGTCCTGCTGCTCCTCCTGCTGCAGCTCGTCCTGCTGCTCCTCCTGCTGCTGCTCGTCCTGCTGCTCCTCCTGCTGCTCCTCGTCCTGCTGCTCCTCCTGCTGCTGCTCGTCCTGCTGCTCCTCCTGCTGCTGCTCGTCCTGCTGCTCGTGCTGCTCGTGCTGCTCGTGCTGCTCCTCGCACCACCAGCGTCCAGCGCAGGTACTCTACCCGTCGGCACCCCCGCAACAATGGACCATCAGCAGCAGAAGCAGCAGAAGCAGCAGCAGCAGCAACAGAAAGAGCAGAAGCAGCAGCAGCAGCAGAAGCAGCAGCAGAAGCAGCAGCAGAAGCAGCAGCAGCAGCAGAAGCAGCAGCAGCAGCAGCAGCAGCAGAAGCAGTAGCAGAAGCAGAAGCAGCAGCAGAAGCAGAAGAAGCAGCAGCAGCAGCAGAAGCAGAAGAAGAAGCAGCAGCAGAGCGCTACAGCCGTAGATAGAATGGCGCTGCTGCCGAGCCCGGCCTGGGTCCAACAGCAGCAGCTGTTGTGGGGCCCTCTGCTGCTGCTGCTGCTGCTGAGGGGCCCCAGGGGCCCCAGAGAGCTGCGGGCGCAGCGCGGGGGCCCCCCTTCCCACCTGTCTTCAGGAGAAGGCAGCAGCAAACTTGTTTCGGGGCCCCTGGGGGCCCCCAGCTCTCATCATTTTATTGTTTTAAGGGCATCTAGGCCAGGGCTTTGCTGCCTTTGGGGGCCCCCCGGCCCCTGAAGTTGGGGTTGCAAACCCTAGGCTTTGTAGTTCTTGGGGCCCCCGGGGCCCCCACTGCAGCATTTGGGGGCCTCGGTCTTAGGGGCCCCCAAACCCTAGGCACTGGGGCTTCTAGGGACCCCTGGTCCTCTCCGTTTTGTCACTTAGGGGGGCCCCCAGTCCGACACGGGGGGCCCCTGGCTCTTGTTATTTGGTGGTTTAGGGGGCCCCTAAACCTCGCGGGGGCCCCCAGCTTTTGCCATTTTTATTCTACTAGACATTTAGGGTTCTGGAGGCCCCTGGCCTTTGCCATTTTATCATTCAGAGGGCCCCTAAACCCCAGGCTCTGCAGCTTCTCGGGGGCCCCTAAACCCTAAGTTTTGAGGGTTTTGGGGGCCCCCTAAACCCCAGGCGCTGCAGCTTCTGGGGGGCCCCTAAACCCTGGGTTTTGCAGGTTTGCCCCAAAGCCACAGGTTTTGCAGCTTTTGAGGGGCCCCCAAACCCCAGACTTGGCGGGTTTTAGGGGCCCCCAAACCCCAGGTTTTGCGGGTTAGGGGGGCCCCCCAACCCCAGGCTTACGGGTTTGAGGGGCCCCCTAAGCCCCGGGTTTAGCTGGTTTGGAGGGGCCCCCAAGCCTCAGGTTTTGCAGCTTCTGTGGGCCCCCTAAACCCCAGGTTTAGCGGGACTTGGGGGCCCCCAAGCCCCATTTTCTGCAGCTTTTGGGGGCCCCCAGCTCTCGACATTTATCATTTAAGAGGGTGAAGTTATTTAAGGAAAGACTTTTCCTTTTGAGCTACTTGGTGGCTCAGCAGCAATAGCAGCAGTACAGCAGCAGCAGCTTTGAAGCAACTGCAGCAGCAGCAGGGGCAGCACAGCGGCGACGCAACAGCAGCAGGGAAGCAGCTGCAGCAGCTGCAGCACAGAAGCAGCAGCAGCAGTGGCAGCAGGGGCATTTGGGCTTGGAGCTGTGGGCCCCGAGGCCACTAATGATGTTTTAAATATTTTTAAAATTGTCTTTTAAGGTCTCTTGTGATATTTTATTTGCTTCCGTTGTCTTGTGGCCTCTTTAGCTTAGCTTCTTTTTGTGGGGACCTCTCTGCTGCAGCTCCCGGCACTGCGGGGAAGGCTTGCTGAGGCACTGCAGCAGCAGCAGCAGCAGCAGCAGCAGCAGCAGCAGCAGCACGGCCGCAACCGCAGCAGCAGCGACAGGGCCGCAGCAGCGGCGGCACGGCGGCACCGACCAATGCAGCCGCGACACTGCGGCGGGACAGCAGCAGCAGCAACAGGGACACAGCAGCAGCAGCAGCAGCAGCAGCAGCAGCAGCAGCAGCAGGCTTCAGAGCAGGTGCAGCACGGGCCAGCCAGCGGTCTGCAGCGCGACAGCAGCTACGGCCAGGCGGCGCAGCGCCTCGCTGCAGCTTTTCTTGGCTTTTATTGTTTCAAAACCAGTTTATTTTGTCTAAAAAACAATTAAAAACAATTTAAAACAATTAAAAACTATTTAAAAATATTTAAAAACTATTTAAAAATATTTAAAAATATTTAATTCATTAATTCCAAGCAAAATGCTGCAGCAAAGAGCCCCAGGCGCCCGGCCGCGCCCACGCCGGCACAGCCGTGGGGGAGCCACCAGCAGCAGCAGCAGCAGCAGCAACAGCAGCAGCAGCAGCAGCAACAGCAGCAGCAGCAGCAGCAGCAGTTGCGGCGCTTCAGATAAGCTCTCGTAGACTTTGCAATTTAAAAGATTTAGTTGTTTAAATTTAAATTAACTTTCGCAAATTAATTTCTTTTCGCAATGTCCGCTCTAAGGCTAAACCCTAAACCCTAAACCCTAAACCCTAAACCCTAAACCCTAAGCTAACAAAAGACGCAATTTGCTGCCTCAGCGAACTGGCCCTCTAGCTGCTGCATGCGCTCCGGGGGCTCCAAACCCTAAACCCTAAACCCTAAACCCTACAGGAAAAACGACAGCTGTCACTCCATACAAACCCTCAACCCTAAACCCTAAGAGTGGCCCTCAGCCTTAAGCCGTGAAGCGGAAGCCCTAAACCCTAAACCCTAAACCCTAAACCCTCGAGCCTCAGATCTATACTCTAATAGGAGGTAATGGCTTTCTGCTGCAAAGGCGGGACGACATGCTGCTGCTGCTGCTTCCAATTGAGGGTTTAGGGTTTAGGGTTTAGGGTTTTGGCTGTGGAGGTGAGCACTGAGCTTCGATGAGGCAGCAGCTCTATCTCCCACTGCTGCTGGAGGCTGCTGCTGCTGTTTCTGGCCTCAACTGCTTCTGCTGCTGCTGCTGCTGCTGCTGCTGCTGCTGCTACTGCTGCCGTTGCTGCTACTGTTCTTGCTGCTGCTGCAGCGCAGCAAGGTTTTCTATGGAGTCAACGCACACTTCAGGGCAAGTAAGGGAATGTGGCTGAGGAAGCAGCAGGACTTGAGCAGCTGCTGCTGCCAGTCTTTGCTGCTGCTGGCCGCTGCTGCAGCTGATCCCTGCCGTTGCTGCTAGCTGCTGCTGTTGCTGCAGTTGCTGCTGCTGCTGGCCCAACAATACAAATGCAAACTAGCAGCTGTTAGTCTAAAGGACCCCTATAGATGTATGGACTTAAATTAAAGTGCACAATTATGCCAACGACGCAGCTGCTGCCGCGTCCACTGCTGCTGCTGCTGCTGCTGCTGCTGCTGCTGCTGCTGCTGCTGCTCCGTGCTCCCTGGGTCTAAGGGCTTCGGCAGCAGCAGCTGCATCTCTTTTGACTTTGGCACTCAAATGTTGTGTAAAATAAACAAAAAAGAGTTGGGGGGCCCCTGCTGCTTTGTTACCCCTGGCAGCAGCAGCAGCGGGCTCGGGGGGCCCCAGCAGCAGAGCAGCAGCAGCAGGTTCTGCTGCTGCTGCGGGGGTTAAGGAAGCTCACAAGCAGCTAATTTTGACAAAAGCAACTGAAATTTAAAACAATTGTTTTATATTTTCAATTATTTGTCCAATAGGAGCAGCAGAACTCACCAGCAGCTTCTGTTCTCTGGGGGCCCCCGGCTGTGGCCAGCATCGGGGCCCCTGGCCGTTAGGTCCTGCTGCTGCTGCTGCTGCTGCTGCTGCAGCAGCTGCTGCTGCATGCAGATGAGGGATTTTCCGGCTGCTCCTTTGGCTTAGCGCACATTTCAAATTTGTTTTCTTGTTTACTACCGCGGGCTTCTTGCGCAGGCTGGACTGAGGTACAGACGCGAGGGTTTAGGGTTTAGGGTTTAGGGTTTAGGGTTTAGCAGATTGCACTGGCATGTGGAGCAGCCGCATCGACTCTTCGTAGCAGCAGCAGCTGCCGGAAGAACCTGCAGCAGGGGCTTCTGGAGGCGGCCGGAGCAGCAGCAGCAACGGAGGCAACAACATCAGCAGCAGCAGCAGCAGCAGCTGCTGCAGCAACGACACCGGCAGCAGCAGCAGCAGCAGCAGCAGCAGCAGCAGCAGCAGCAGCAGCGACACAATGCTGGAGGATCCCTCCAGTGCGGATGACTCTGCCGGCCAGAGCAGCGGCAGCGCACCTGCTGCCGCTGCAGCAGCAGAAGCTGCCGCAGCAGAACCCGCAGCCGCTGCAGATCCAGCAGCAGCGCCAGCAGCAGCAGCAGCAGCAGCAGCAGCAGCAGCAGGCAGTGCAGGAGAAGGCGAGCCCGCGAAGCCTCCGCTGCGTGGCCGTGCGAAGGCAATAGCGCGTGCGAAGGCCGCTGCCGCAGCAGCAGCAGCAGCAGCTGCTGCTGCTGCTGCAGCGGGGGAAGCAGCAACTGAGGGGGGGCCCCCAGCTGCTGCTGCTGCTGCTGCTGCAGGGGCCCCCAGGGGGGCCCCCCACCCCACACTTGCAGCAGAACTGCTGACCCCTGCGGGGGCTTTGGGGGGCCGGCTGCTGCCGCTGGTGTCTCTTGGCTGCGACGAGGGGCAGCTGGAAGACGAAGTTGCTGCCTTCATCGAGGAGTGCTGCAGCAGCAGCAGCAGCAGCAGCAGCAGCAGCAGCAGCAGCAGCAGCAGCAGGCTGCTGGTGGTGGGCAGCACCGGCACACTCGTGGGCAGACACTCCGGCCGCCGCGTGCTGCTGCCGGTGGGGGTTTGCTGCTTGCTGAGTCAAGACACGGGGCAGCTGCTGTTTGAGGAGGCGCTGCAGCAGCAGCAGCAGCAGCAGCAGGTGCAGCAGCTGCTGCAGCAGCTCCTCGGCGCCGAACGCAAGGCCTACGGCGCCACGCAACTCCCCTCGTCTTACCAGATTGTAGACACTCTCCAGCTAGACCCATCTGCTGCTGCTGCTGCTGCTGCTGCTGCTGCTGCTGCTGCTGCTCTTGAAGGCGCCAACCCCGAGGGCGAAGAGCTCGAGGACTCGCGGGTGCTCATCTACAGCTTCGCCAACTCCCAGCAGCAGCACCAGCAGCACCAGCAGCACCAGCAGCAGCAGCAGCAGCAGCAGCAGCAGCAGCAGCAGCAGCAGCAGCAGCAGCAGGTGGTGCAGGTCTCGCAGCAGATGCTGCTGGGCAAGAAGCTGATTTACCGCCCGCGGGCCTCGCGGCACCTGCAGGTGTCTGTTTTGTCTGAGACGAGCTACGCGCTGACTCCCCTCAGCAGCAGCAGCAGCAGCAGCAGCAGCAGCAGCAGCAGCAGCAGCAACGGCAGCAGCAGCAGCAGCAACGGCGCTGGAGAGGCGTATGAGGAGGGGCGGCTGCCCCCCGAGCTGCTGAGTGACCTGCAGCGTCTTGGGCTCATAGGGGACACAGCAGCAGCAGCAGCAGCAGAAGAAGAAGCGCCAGCAGCAGCAGCAGCAGCAGCAGCAGTGCGCGTTTCTGAGCGCAAAGTGGTTCGCTGCGACTCGTGGCTGTTCTCCCCCTTCCTGCTGCAGCAGCAGCAGCAGCAGCAGCAGCAGCAGCGGCTGGTGCTGCCGGAGTGGGTGCTGGAGCTGCGGTGCGAAGCAGATGAAGGAGACACAGAAAGCCACCCCGAGTTGCTGCTGCAGCAGCTGCAGCAAAGAGCAGCAGCAAGCAGCAGCGGGAGAGGAGCTGATGTGGACTTGAGCGACGAGACGCGGCGGCTGCTGGTGCGGCTGTACGCGCCTGCAGAGTGTTTGCTGCTGCAGCGGCGGAAGCAGCAGCAGCAGCAGCAGCAGCAGCTGCTGCTGCAGCAGCCAGCGGCCTTCGACGCCCTCGTCGCGCTCTTCCTCCACAACCTCCAGGTCGCCGTCGCCGAGCCCCTCGAAGCAGCAGCAGCAGCAGCAGCAGCAGCAGCAGCAGCAGCAGCAGCAGCAGCAGGACCTGCTCTTTACTATCCGGGGGCCCTGGGGGACCCCCAAGCTGCTGTTCAGTCTTTCTATGAAAACAGAATTGTCAAAGCAGCAGCAGAGTCCCCCATTGCTGCTCTCCGGGTGTACAACAACCAAGTGCTGCTCCCCAAACCCTAAACCCTAAACCCTAAACCCTAAACCCTAAACCCTAGCTGCGGGCGGCGCCGCCGCAGGCAGCAGCAGCTCTTGTTGCCGGTTTCGCTCCGCCGCCGCGCAAAGGAGCTCTTCGGAGCTTCGTTTGCTTCTTGAATTGCAACAAATAAATAAATAAATAAATAAATAATTTATTTTTATTTATTTATTTTTATTTATTTATTTATTTATTTATTTATTTATTTATTCGCAGGCCAAACGAATCCTGATCAAAATGCAAGTCCAGAGCGGCGCCCGCGTGCTGGACTTGGCCTGCGGCCACGCCCAAGACCTGTTCAAGTTCCTCGAGGCGAGGGTTTCTCGACTTCTGGGTGATCTTTTTGGAAAAAAAGAAAAAATAAATCAAAAATAATTAAAAATAATTCAAAAATAATTAAAAATAAATCAAAAATAATCAAAAATAAATCAAAAATAATCAAAAATAAATCAAAAATATTCAAAATGATTCATTTTGATGCATTTAATTCAAATAAATGACTTTTCCGCGAAGATCCGACGCGCAGCGGACTTGCAGTTGCAAAAACGCGAAAAAGTAGCAGTAAATAAATAAATAAATAAATAAATAAATAAATAAATAAATAAATAAATAAATAAATAAATAAATAAATAAAATAAATAAAATAAATGAATAAATAAATAAAGAATAGTGAATGAATAATTCTCTTTTTGCTGCTTCTCGCGTTTGCCCGTTGGTTAACTCTTTGCCCGTTTGCTCTTTCGCAGCATCCGTGCGGCGCTTGCTGTGCTGCTGCTGCTGCTGCTGCTGCTGCTGCTGCTGCTGCTGCTGCTGCTGCTGCTGCTGCTGCTGCTGCTGCTGCTGCTGCTGC